CTAGCTCAGCCCAGGATCAGCCCCAATTTCAGATCAGCCCGGGCGGTAAATTGGTGCCAAGCTCAGGCTAGCACTGGCAATGGCAATGGCATTGACATTGGCACTGGCACTGACATCGGTGCTAGCATTAGCACTAGCAATAGCACTGGCCACGAATACGACCGCCATGGTCCCTTTGGTGCGAATGGCCAGGCCTCAAGTCGAGAATGGGCTGTACTGACGTGCAGTTGTGTGCCAAGCCAACAATTGCAAGAAGCATGTAAAGATTAATTTATGCACAGCCAACAGCCCACAGCCCACATTCACCAACCCTCGGACCCCGGCCCCGTGCCATCAGGCACCAGTCGTCGGCCTTAATCTCAGCCTAGGACCCGATTTGTCCGCCCCTTTCAAGGTCAACTGTCACTCATGCATATGCGCTTTTGCAGGGCTCTAGATCGATAATTACTGGCTCGATTGGTGACGGCATTGAACGGAAGTCGTTTATTGATGGGAACGAAGGCGATTTCACTAGCACCCCCAAACTGATCAAGTTAACCAGCCAAACAGCCAGCCAGCCAACCAGCCAAACAGCCAGCCAGTCAGTTATCTGGTAGCTGACCTCAATAACAGGTTTGAATGAGCAGGACTCGGGCGTCTGTGGCTCCACCTCTAAGGCGGGACTACTTTCTTCGTCATCTTACTGGCATAAACAACGCTCAAATCAGCTCTAAAGTCTTGCCCAATGCACAACCAATCCGATGTCATGCCATCGCATTTAAGCATGCCCCATCACCTCCAAAGTGATAATCTCATTTCACGGTCAAACTGATGGCTACTCAAGTCGGAAATAACAAAATCAAATACTGCTCTATTCCACCAAAGTCTGTTTGGCTTCTTTTATCCTCAATTCTCTCTATCTCATGCATACGCATGCGCACACGCACAAACACTCTTTTTCTTTCTATCAATCTACCTATCCCACGAATCCTGCCGCTACATTCCGTGAGGGAGAGCGTCAGAGACGATCATGGTAATCAGATAAATTCACTCCAATCAGGCGTTTTATACACATGCCTCCAGTAAAAGGTCAACGGCGATTTGCCTGAAGTTTTACTGACATTTTGTACGCCCCGTGTAAAGAGCCCTGATGGGTTCCGGAACAATATTGATGAAGACATCATGTCCCTTTAGAGACCATAAAGTGGTGAAGGACAACTGGTAATTTAAATTTTCCATAATTAGATGACTAGACCTCACGCTTTCAATGAAGTTTATTGATCCTTGCTTCTTAACAGGTATTCTCATCATGGCTGGACTGGACTCCACTTTCAACCTCACTTTAGACTCATCTGAGCCCCCAATTGGAATCAAACCCGATTGGTGGTAGGAAAGAGTACAATTTCCATATTGTACATACGAAAAAAAAGAAGGGTTTTTATGACTCTCTTGAGATAATACTGTTGGGGTGACTTTCATTTCGCGTATAAAGTGTGTAATGAGGAGAGTGGACCTAATCTAGAATAGTCTCAGACGCAGAAGTTTGCTAATTGTAGTATATGAAATGTATTCCCACTATTTCGTAAAAGCTAATGAAAGAGGAGTAGTTGAATTTTCCTACAATCAAATAACTAGGCATTGTGAAAAAATTCAACTGCTTGCCTTTCATTAATTGGAACACATTTCAGATATATGATTTAGTGGTAGTCTTGAAATTCAACTTGCAAATAATTATGGTATGTCTGCTATGAAACGCAGTCCACGAGGCATCCTCCCTCACTTCAGGTAAAACCGGGCTGGCGCAAGATAGAGCCGGACAGTCTTCTTGATCTGATATTAACTTGAGACTTTAAAAGAACTAGTTCCAGCTCTGATGATGCTGGATGCAATTTATGATGGACGCAAGCCCAGCCCATATTTACCCGAACCTAAGAAGAATATCTTATGGACTGGGCCAAACTGAACGTCGCATTAAAGCCGAATAGCTTCAGTACAACCGAAATCAGCCGTCGTCTTTTGATGAGATCGACCTACGAATCTCTTCTTCATGTACTCTCGTACCATATGAAATTATCACCCTTCTAAGTAGTACTCACGATGTGAGCATCGTTTTAGCAGCATTATCATTTGTAGTACTAATTTCGGATAACTGACTTGTAGGTTTCTCGAAAACCCACCATACCTGTTGGCTAAAATTCCGTTATTTTTTATTCTTATTGTTTTTTTTCACATTCACTGCTTAATTTGTATCATTCTGTCATTCGTTGCTTTCGTACACAGAGGAAACAATTTAGGGACCCGATTCTACAGTGCTGGAGTTCGTACAGGGCGACGCAATGCTGCCGGAAGTCGATGCGTGGCTGCACAACGGGACAACATCAGAAAGCATCCAATTGAGGTGAGGCATTCTAGTCTGGCCTAGCGAAACCATCTGAGTCGGCTCTCTAAAAGGGTCGGCTTGTATGATCTCACCATTCTCTAGGCCGTATATAAAGAACATTCGTTTATACGTCGTTCCCTCGGCTCGAGTGTATTTCTGCCAACCTTGGCTCTAGCCCTGAAGAAGCAATACCAGTTTTCTGTTACGCCTATGTAACTATGCCGAGTTAGTGAGACAATTGTTGAATTTGGCATTTGGTCAGGGAATACCATATTGTTAGTGTCTCGTTAAAGTTCATTCGCGACACTGTGAGCTAATAAGCAGTTAAATGCTGCCGCGCAATATCTCCATGCCTAAGGTTTTATCGACACTCTTGACTATTGTAGCGTATTTAATACATTCTGCCGTGTCGGATAGTTTACACATTAGGCCCTCAAGTTCATCGGACAAGTGCACACGAAGCAATATCGGTGCACATATTTAGGGTATCCAACTTCCTTCTTCAAGCCAACCAGCCACATGAGATCTGGGACGCAGGCAGGGTGACTATGCGAAATCGTTGGCACAAACTGTAACCACCCTTGATGGAGGTCTGATAGTTGAGTTTTTCCCACAATTCATCAGGTCATAACTTTTACTTAGCCTTGTCTCTTAAATGGCTATATCATTCATAATGGACCAACTAATACTGAATTAACGAAACTACATTGCCACCCAATTATTTATTGTCCAGCAGATATAGGTCATTCGTTGAGACAAATAGGGACAAAAGTCAAATTTTTATGAGTAAATACTTCTTGTCATCCTAAATTTCAGCTATTAGAGCTGCCCTGGAGGGTATCGGTTATTCATAACTTGAAAGCATCACCATATCCAATTATGGACATTTTTAGTAATTCCTTGTTAGTTTTATTTACCTCCCAGCATATCCGATCCGTTCATGCTATACTACAATTTAAAAGTTCCCTTCTCAAATTCGAATAAAGGCTAAAACGGTGACAGCAATATTACAAATTCCTAATGCAATGCGGGTTTATAAGAACCTCTTGAGATAAGATTGATATGAAGACTTTCATTACTTATTGAAGTCACTGATGAAGAGATTCGTAGGACAATCTCACCAGAAGACGTCGACTGATTCTCGCTGTACTGCAACCTTTTTGTCTTAATACGATGTTTAGGTTGATGCAGTCCATGACACATCCTCTAACGTTTCGGGCGACTGCATCAGCCTGAAAGTCGTATTAATACCAACCGGTTGCAGTACAACGAGAATCATCCGACGTTTTCTAGTGAGCTTGACCTACCAGTCACTTCATCATGCACTTCCGTACGAAATGAAAATCATCATTTGAACATGAATTCATCACTAAAAGTGATTTAAAAATTCTATTGATTTGGGCGCCATTTTCCCGTCGACTTTAACAAAGGTTTCATCAATTGATTTCAATACTGTAATGGATTTCCAATAAACTCCTAACCATGGCGTCCTCACGCAAGGCGTGCGCAAACTGTGCTGTGTCACACCTAGCCAGGAGACCCTCAGAAAAGGGTCGGGATCAGCG